GCTAATGTATAATTATAAAAATAACAAAATTCCTAAGATGATAAATATTTAAAGATACCRTTAAAAAATTAAATATATCAATATAAAATAAGAATAAAAATAATAAGTCTCAAATTAACAATTAAGTAGGTACATATATATTATTAAATTTAACTTTTACTGCCATTACTTAATTTTTTTTCGCGTACCCCTTGAGACATGCCATGTACCCCAGGTTGAGAACCGCTGATATAAATCGTTGTGCGTATTGTCTTACTACCGTATGACTTACATTAACTACGATAATCGGATAATTTCAAATGTCAAAATTTAGTTAGATGGAAGATATACAACTCTTGATGATTTATTGTAATATTATGAATTTATTTAAGTCAAAACAGTTATTTAATAAAATTCGACTAAGTCCAAATAATATTTTAAATAGAATTTCGTCTAAGCCAAAATAATTAATTGTGGATGAGCGAGATGCGACTGAGCGTGGTGTGGTCTCCTGGTCATCCAGTCGCTAGTCGTCTTGTTGTACCACTGACGATCGTCGTCGACGAGCTCCTCTCGTAGAAAGAATCCCTAATCCCTGCTACACCTAACATCCCCGTATCTCTCATATTCATGGTCATAAAGCGAGCGCGTGTGGCTATACGCGCCACACAACCGGATGTCACTTACTCACTTGCACATTTATTTTATAGTGCGATACCCGTTTACGCAAAACACACAATTTTTGCTTGACCTACTTGTCCTACTTTAATGAATATTCATATGAGTAGTGATATATATAATGCCACATGAATTATTATTATTATTATTAATATAATTGTCATTACGCCGTAGCGCTCTATCACTATTATTATTATATTATTATTATATTATTATTATGGATTTATAGGTAAATAAAGGTAAAGTCACATCTCACTTCAGTTTTATATGCATTATTGTATGGCCTCAATTCGTACCTACGTCATTTAGGGATTGGGCCGCAACTGGTTGCTTTTATTCTTAAATTACCCTCGCCGAATCATAACTATTCCGATATTAGCAGTTTTCTAAATATACCCCTTCTTTGTTTTCACACCGTAATATTATAATTTAATATATTGATTCTTGGTTTATTTCTGCACTTYTCAACAATTATATAGATGCACCTGACCTTTTATCTTAATTTTTATTTAAAGTTCCTTCTCACAATATTCGTAATCACATTCCCACTCATTCTACTTCCTTCAGCCACAACCCTATCCACAGAATGCTTCGGTCTGCCCATTCAGTTTGATCTCCGTCTCATATTGATATTACTTTATCTAGTTAGATACTTCAACACTTATTACTAATCATAAAATATTATTGTTATCATATTATATTATATTTAGGTATATTTATCTTTAACTCTTTTTTGTAAAAGCCGGTTGGCGTATATTATACATTAAATAAATGAATAAATAAAATCACTAAAGAATAAATTTTGTATTCGAAGATGTTGGTGTTTACTGTCTATATAAAATTATAATAAAAATAATTATTTGTGAAATGAGGTAAGTACACTAAACTCGATTTTCACTAACCTAACGCCGTAATAATGTTTAATTATATTTTATTTGGTGAAGTCGAGATACTATACTGGTATAGTTAAGTATACTCGTAAATTATTATGTAGT